GAAGGGCACCGATTGAAAAATCACGAATCTGCTCTTGCACGGACTCTCGTGTCAGGGTATGTGAAATGTAGTTTTTTGTTAAGTTGCTAATGTATAAGAATGTTAACCAAAAAGGGGTAGGAATAAGAGCTTATGATAATCTTCTTATTTATGAGTTATGGATTTGCTCCTCTCAGTTAAATTTTAGCACTCACCTTTGCTGATAAAGGTATAATCTGATGCACTGGCACACAATCGAATGAGTAATGAGTTTTATCTTAAAAAAATAATTATGGGGATGTGCCAAGCATCGGGAAGTCATTTCTTGGCAGTTCAATTTTCAAGGATAAAAGTTCAGATGTGGGAAGCGTTCCTCTAATAAGGTGTGTAATATTTGCAGCTATCGGATTCGTCGGAGACTTCTGTTGACTGGTACCCCGATCCAAAACAGCTTACAGGAGTTGTGGTCTCTTCTCAATTTTCTTCTTCCGAACATCTTTAATTCAGTGGAGAATTTCGAGGAGTGGTTTAATGCCCCCTTTGCTGATAAGTGCGACGTCTCTCTAACTGATGAAGAGGAGTTATTGGTTATTCGCCGGTTGCACCATGTACGTCTTGGTTCATTATTCGCTGATATACACTTCTTTCCTGCCTATTTAGATTTTATTGCACCGTTTCAAATGCACTTTATGCTTTCTTGATCTAATGTTTTTGACTACTTTTAGGTAATAAGGCCGTTTATATTGAGGAGGAAGAAAGATGAAGTGGAGAAATTTCTTCCTGGGAAAACACAAGTTGTTCTTAAATGTGATATGTCTGCATGGCAGAAAGTATACTACCAGCAGGTCACGGATGTCGGGAGGGTTGGATTGGATTCTGGTGAGTAGTAGCTGCCGTCCAGAAAGGATTGTCTTTAATGCATTCCTTTTAGACATGGTTGAACTTAAAGATTGTATTTTTATTTTTTCTATTTTTTTGGCATTGGGTGGGGCGGGATATGAATTCCTGGAGAGGGGAGGGGAAAACAACTGTGCTTTGAATACTCTCTCTCTCCCTCTCTTCCTCTATTTCTCTTGGGCCCCTACAGATCCATTGCTCTGAAATCAACATCCTTAATGATGCCTTATACAGCTCCTGTGCTCTGTTTTTTTTCCTTCCCCTTTTTTGTTCCCCTGATAGAACTTTTTGCAAAAGCAGCAATCTATAGGTTCTGATAATTTATCATTAATGACTAGAATCTAAAAACATTGGTAGGATATTGCTTTAGTAAAATTATTGCTGAGGCTATAATTAATCTGTAGCCAAATAGAATAAATTTGCTGACAATGTGACTTCGCAGGAACTGGGAAGTCTAAGAGCCTACAGAATCTCACCATGCAGCTAAGGAAATGTTGTAATCACCCATATCTATTTGTGGGTGATACTTCTTCGTATTATCGTAAGGAGGAGATAGTCAGAGCATCTGGAAAATTTGAGCTTCTTGATCGTTTACTACCCAAACTCCGCAGAGCAGGGCACAGGGTACTCCTCTTCTCACAAATGACCCGCCTCATGGACATTCTTGAGGTCTATCTGCAGCTTCATGACTTTAAGTATCTGAGACTTGATGGCTCAACCAAAACAGAGGAAAGAGGGACTTTGCTAAAGCAATTTAATGCTCCTGACTCTCCTTACTTTATGTTTCTTTTGAGTACTCGTGCCGGAGGACTCGGTCTGAATTTGCAAACAGCAGATACTGTGATAATTTTTGACAGTGACTGGAACCCTCAAATGGACCAGCAAGCAGAAGATAGGGCACATCGGATTGGGCAAAAGAAAGAAGTTAGGGTTTTTGTGTTAATCAGTGTAGGATCAATTGAAGAGGTCATATTGGAACGTGCAAAACAGAAGATGGGCATTGATGCTAAGGTCATCCAGGCTGGATTGTTCAATACAACATCTACAGGTTTGTCTTGTACACAGTAGTTTTGGAGAACCCTCCACACCCCAAGCCCCTGCCTTCTTTACTTTTCTTATGGGGAAGAAGCAAATCAGGTTGAATTATAAGAAGACATTGCATTTTCTTTTCTGTAGAAGTATGGAAACTAGATTCTGAAAATTGTACTAATACTTTAGTTTACTTGCAATAAGTGTGCTTTTACCAAGAATCGCCTGTGTACTTTCAACATGTTAGTCTCAGGGACTGAAGCTTTTATTCATGGTCTTGCTTCTTGATCCTCTTCATAATCCATTCCGGCTGACTGTCTTTGTTCTTCATGCAGCTCAAGAGAGGAGGGAGATGCTAGAAGAGATCATGCGTAAAGGTACAAGCACCCTTGGAACAGATGTGCCAAGCGAAAGAGAGATTAATCGTCTTGCAGCCCGCTCTGATGAGGAGTTTTGGCTGTTTGAGAAAATGGATGAGGAGAGAAGGCAAAAAGAACGTTACAGATCTCGTCTCATGGAAGATCACGAGGTGCCGGATTGGGCGTATGCTACACCTGAGGCTAAGGAAAGGGGAAAAGGGTTTCTATATGAAAGTGCTAATCTTACTGGAAAGCGGCGTAGAAAAGAAGTGGTTTATGCCGATACTTTAAGTGACTTACAGTGGATGAAAGCTGTGGAGAATGGATATGATTTCTTTAAGCAGTCAGGTAAAGGTAGGAACAGGGACCATCACTCAGTCTCAAATGGTGAATTGCCGAGTGACAATGCTGAAGTGGAGAAGAAAGAACAGGACTTGAAGACTGAAACTGCGTCTGTGGGCGAGGCAACAAGTGAAGATACCTTTGGAATAACTCCTATAAGGTTCAAATCCGAGAGTGCTAGTTCCATGAGAAACGATTATCACGACTTGACTGGTGGCAGTTTGGACGGATTATCGTGGAAGGCACACAAGAGGAAGAGATCAAGCTTAGTATCTTGAGATTGCCCCTTTAAAAATTAGGAATTATTTTCGCCAGTGAAGCCATTGGGGGACGTAGGGGACACTCTGAAAGACAATAGAATTGGCTACAGGCATTTCAGAGCTAACTATGGGTTAAGTTGTCCGGTGTCTTACATGTAAATTAGCAGCTCATAGTTCTTAGCTTATTATTTACTATTAGTTGATTGTACAGTAGTGAGAAAATTGGAGACATCAACTGGTGTGCCATTATCTTTTTTGCCACAATTCCCAATTATTCTTGTTTGGAGTTACTACTGGATCAAGTTTCAGCGACTTGGCAACGATGTACAGTATATTTTCAAGTTGATGTTACGATCTAGTTTACATTTTTGAAGGACCAGAGTCCCTGTATTTACTGTTGAGTTTTAACCGACCCAGTGCATGGCATTGTAGTGCCTACCAATTGAATACAGCAAGGAGCATGAGATGGTCGTAATATTGATCTTTTGATTGGTCCTGGGGCAAAAACTAAGGCCTTCAATAACATTTGTAGAATTTCAGTGAGAATGTGGATTCAGGGGGAAGCTGGGATTGCTTCCAACACAATTGTTTTTCCTGTTAGGTTGAGAAATGGTAACTTTACTTCTGACACAATTCCTTGACCACAAAAGGGAAGAATAACAATCAGACATAAACAATGAAAATAAGCGTGGTTTAGGAAAATTTAGTACTTCCAAAATTCAAATGAAAGTAGTTTTTGAAAAATGTCACAAGCAATCTACAGACTCCAGCAATAACGTGCTTGCTTGTCTGATAAAATCATAACTCATAAGGGAGGAAAACTAGCACACGTATTCAGTTCGCTTATAAAACCAAACAAGTCAAATGCAATAGAGGAATAAAAAAGGGTGAGATTATCCGTCTACATAACCCCAAAAAGTTCAACATAAATAATTGTTTTCTCCAGTAGCCTACATAATTTAGCTAGACCTAAGTTGACCAATAAAGCAACAGTTCATCCCACCAAATTTAAATGACTGATGGAATTATATGTTAGCACCTGCTGGAGGAACATAATATGGCCAGCTTGGCATAAACAAAAGATGGCAAAACCAAAACTGCAACATGCAGAAGTCAACAAATACCGGATTCTAATTGCTATCTGGTGCGCCGAGACTCTCATCTCACTTGACGTCCAGGTTTTTGAGTTTTGATTCCAGTTCATCCTCACCGTCTTTGCCTTCACCTCCAGATTCCTTCTCCTCTTCCTCGTCCTCGTCATCGTCATCTTCTCCCAGCGGGTCATTATCTTCCAAGGATGCAAGCAGTTCAGGAGATTTCTTAAAGATGTCTTTCAACTCATCAACACCTTCTTCTGAGATGAAATTCCCATTAACATTTAGTAATTTAAACTGATCTTTGTGCAGCACGGTTTGAGCCAGCACTCTAGCCCCAGCCCTTCTTAGTGCGTTCGTGTTCATATCAACTTCCTCCAGATGGTTGTGTCCTCGAAGAGCCTTAGCAATCTCAATTGCACCTTCATCCATAAGTTCATTCTCACCCAAGCTTAGCTTTGAAAGAAATTGCTTTGCAGCTATACAAGAGGCTATTGCTGGAGCAGCTTCCCCAGTTATATCATTACCTGCCATCTCCAAGACACCAAGTGAAGGGGCTGAATCTTTGAGAGCGTTAGCTATTGCAATTGCTCCTTCATCCTCTAAATTAAGGTAGCTCAGGTAAACTTCTGTAAGATTTTCATGTTTGCTGAGTGCCTTACTTAGCACAAGACCAGCTTCTGGACCAAACATATTGTCCCGCAAATCAAGCTTCTTCAAATGGGAGCACATCCCAAGTGCTTCACACAAGGCACTCCCTCCTTCAGAGCCTACCCTTGTAGAAGAGCACCTGAAATCTTCCAATAAAGGGGAGCGCTTCACAATTTCAGCAATGGCAACAGCCCCTTCATCACCTGTCATATTATTATGAAAATGAAGAATCTTAAGCTTCCCGGTGGAAGGAACTAGCTCGCTAACAGCCCTTGCAGCTTCCTGTGAGATCCCATCGTTGATCAAAAATAGTTCCTCCAAGTTGGTTTGAGACTGAAGGAGCTTTCCAAATGCTCTAACTCCCTTCTCGCCCAGAGCATTGTCAGAGAGATTCAGAAACTTCAAGTTAGAACCTTCTAGAGCTTCTGAGAACATATTCATGACATCAAGTGCTTCTGCCTCAACTCTTCCAGCAACAAAATCTGACAAATCAACTTCTGTCAATTGATCCTTCAAGGATGCCAAGATAGGGCCCGCAACACATGCCGCGCCTCGACCGAAACTTCTATTACTGAAACAAATTTTGCTGTAAGGGTTTCCAGGCTCTTTTAATGGCTTCAAAAGTTCTTCAGCCTCTTCAGCTTCAATAAATGCTCTTTGACCTTTCGAGATATCGAAAAGATTCTGCTGAACAGCAGGAACCACCTCAGAAATTGAAATCTCCTTTTCCTCTGTTTTGGGGCTCTTTTTTAAAATCTCCAGGATAAGCTTGCTGCACTCCTTGGCATAAAGCTGCACAGCGGAACTCCCATCACCATCAGGCTCCTTCTCATAATGTTGACTTGCAATGGTAAAAGCTGCATCTTCAATTTGCTCAGCATTTTTGGCAGCATCTTCCTTGGATAGACTGCGGTACTTGCGAGTGAAAATGGTTGGACTAGAAAGATTATTCGTCATTCTTTCCACCAGCATTCTTCTTGTGTTCTCACTTGGAGGCCACAGCTTAATTGAAAATGGTCTGCGCTGAGAATTCGGCATTGTGGCATCCATTGGAAGAAAACCTAGAATCAAGGACAGCATAAGTTTATATACGGGAAAGCATGCCTTAATTTCTATATAAAATAACGTCATTATCTTTCAAGAAATACTAACTACTACAAAACTCGGAAATTATCTCTTGCAGTTAAGAGACAGAACAATCAAAACATAGTAACAGGCCAAGAACAAGTTTTTGCCTACCTACTCCACATAATACAAACTAGTATAAATCAGAAGGAAACAAAAGTTCAAGAGTTCAAATTCTTCCTCATAGGAAACGGGATATATTACAACAATAACAACAACAACCCAGTGTATTCCCACAAGTAGGGTCTAGGGAGGGTAGGATGTACGCAGCCTTATAGACTGTTTCCGATAAACCCTCAGCTAAAGAAAAGATGGAAGAAGCACTGATATCAAGTAATAACCATACAAGATATTTAGAAAACTAAATCCAAGATAGCAAAAGAAAAAATGAAAGAAATACTGATAGCAAGTAATAACAGTACAAGATATGTGATAATAACAGACTAAGGCTAAAAGGGAGGAAACAGGATATATTATAGGCCAAAATTATGATGATGATGTTTATACGACTGAATCCAATAATCCACAGTCATCCATCAAGAAAAATGAGATTAAGTTACATATTCAACAATGTAATAACATTCAAAACAAAAAATGTTACACTCCAGGTGCATTCAATTTAACCACACTAAAAACACTTTCTTGGATATAAGTATAACGATGCTACACAACTACAAACTTGTAGTAATAAGCAAAAAATCTTTATAGCCAACAATTGCAGATGTAGCTTTCCACAGTAAAACTAATAACATGTAAAAACTACAATAAACCACACATGAACGCACATTAAAAAATATAAATTTAAAACCCAACATAGATCTATGAAAAAAATGAACTTAAGCAATGAACAGAAAAAAAAAGTAGATACATGTAAAGCATATGTGCAGAAACCCTAGGAATGAGAAAAAAAACAAAACCCTTTTTGTCCTTTTGTGTTTCTCTTTTGTGTGAGTTTATGTTCTGACTTACCGGGGAACTACGAGAGAGAAGGCGTGAATTGAACGCGCCGGCGAAGAGGGTGTGAGGGGAACTGCAGAGGAACTGAAGAAAATTAGGGGAGTGAGACCAATGTGTGAGTGGGAACAGGGTTTTATTCTGTTCTCTTGGTTTCTTTTTGTAATAATAATTTGCTTGTGGAAAACGCTGTTTGGGGCGACGAAGGATATGGTGATAATTTGATGTTCGGTGAAACTTTAAAAAAAAAAAAATTAATCTCTTTCAAAAAATGTTTTCGGAAAAAGTATTTTAACTTGTAATAATTTGTATTTAGCCAATGACGTGAGAAGCGTTTAACAATTATTTTTTAAAAAGTATCTTTAAATGACAAATTACCAAAGGACATCTTTACAATTAAAATAAAAGTAAAATTATTTTTGAAGCAATTATAATTATTTTTATTAGCGACTTTAATGAAATTAATTTAATAAAGTATTTCTTCTTTATATGAGATTTCATAAGATTTGCAGAAATAAAGAGTTGAGAAGACAATAAAAAAAAGTCATGGAGAAAAAGGAGAAGAAGCAACTTTCTAATGGTTAAGTTCTCTTTTGAAATTAATAATAGTTTTCTAATTAATTTCTCCTACCTACCCACAATGTTTGAAACCCAATCTCTTCTTCTCCGCATTAATTAACAATTAAAAAAATTCACAATATACGGTGATTCTGGGTGATAATTTGAGCCCAAACCCATTTAACCTGCCTAACACGTCCAAGATTAGGCTGCTCATTGACCCGCCCATTTGTTGAACTCAGTCCATCTTGTTTCAACTTATTTTAGCCCATTTAAAATTGGGCTAATTTTTAGCCAAATTGCTCAATGAGTAACTTTTGGTAAAATATCTTTAAAATAAACTTTTTTGTTTGATATGTCGTATAGGACTATAACAAAAGGAAAAAACTCTTATTTGATAATTAAACAATTTATAAAAAAATAATACATATTAATTAAAGCTTGTTTAAAATTGGGCGGGTTGGGTTATGACCCAAAATTTAGCCCATCTTAACTCAACTCATCTCAGCCCAAGTAATTTTGGGCGGGTCATTGACTTAGCCCATTTTGACATACCCAAAATCAGCCCAACCTGCCCATTTGATACCCTAGGCACGACCAACACTCTGAAAGTTCTTTTGGCCACCACAAGTGCACTATCAGTGTAGCACCCCGAAATATTTTAAAGTATTTAAAGGTCATTAAGAAGATTGGTGTGTGCTAATTATATTAATTTGTATATTAACGAGGGTTAATGATATGGAGTATATCACTTGAAAATGATAATAGATGTACGAGGTGTATTAAAAGTGATTTAGGGTTCAGGAAGAGTCTTAAGACCAAGCCAAGTTGGAAAGTCTATGATGGACTAAAGTTTCAAATAAATTTGCTCAAGATTCTATCTTAAATGAGCACAACTCCCAAGATATAAAATGTTATTTCGGTGAATGACCTATCAAATGAATTGTCTATGTGTCTAGTTTCTAATGATTTAAACCGTTTGTCATTTGGATATTTCTACTAGGAGTTATGATCTTTTTATTGAAGGGTAACACAACAGCTACACAACTACGTGAGTCCTGCATAGCCTACACAGCATGCGTAGCATGTGTAGGCAGATCCAGAAGCTGCCAATTGAAGAGAAATAGAAGGCCAGCATGCGTAACCTTTGTGTGTAGCCTATGCAGGGGGCTACGCACCTATCATACCTTTTTTTAAAGTGTTGAAACAAGGAGTTTATAGAGAGAAAGAGTTAGTGCTTCAACTTGGAATTGATTTCTAGAGAAAGCTCTTCCACCATGAATACACTTTAAAGTAAGTTTCTTTGGTACAAGAATAATTATATAACATCATTTGATGTTAACACTAACCTTATTATGGACCAAATTCAAAGGAAATTTGTTGAATCTTCAAGAACACTTAAAAGAGAAATAGTGAGATTCTTCCACCAAGAGGTAATTCCTTTACTTGAGCTTCATATATAATGACATATTGGAGTATGGGAGCATATTTATGAAGTTTATTTGAAGTAATAATGAAGTACTTCAAGAACCTTAAGAGTGGGTCTTGAAAATGATATTTTGGACAAAGAAGAAGATAAATAGTGATGAATTGATATAAATGGAATTGTTTTGAGTTTCTAATAATTCCAAATAGACTTGATAACTTAATTGATGAACGAATTGAAGTGGGAATCACCATTTGGATAAGAAACAACACTTGTTCTTGAATTGGATATTTTTGGACCTAGGGTTTTGTTGGATAAGACAATGAATATTGACTTGATAATGTTGAGTAATTAACATAGTATCGTTAGCGACTCCAAATGAGTATTAAATGATAAAAATAAAATTGTATAGACTAATGGATGAAGATATCGGATAATTTGAGCCGGTTGAAAGTTTGTAGTGGACTTGTGGAGCCTAAATGATTATTTATGAATCTTTTTATTTTTTTTATGTAGTTGGATATCTAATGGTAGATATTGAATTATTGGTGATATTTGAACATTTTAATCAATCGGAGCGTTATAGTATTATTTGGGGCTTGAAGTTTGAGATAAGTTGATTAAGACTTACTCTTTTTGAGGGATTCTCTCTACAAACATGTTTTGAGTTAATACGTGATCTTATTTATAAATGTGTATCCGTACTTGCGGGGACAAGCGGGGAGTATGTCACCATATGTTTCTATGTTTGTTACTTATGAAGTGTCATGTAATTTTTGTAAATAATTTATTTTCTGAACTTGTTGGCAAAATGACACTCAAGGAAAACGTTATAAATTTTATTAAAACTTATGTGTTGATAAAAGTATAAAATGTTGAGTGCTAAAGATATGTTTTCATGAAAAAGTATGTCTTTTGAAATTTGAACAAATGAGTAGCACTTGTTGTATCTTTAAAAGATTGATGTTAAATTATTAAAAGCTTTAACATGAAAAAAGGTTATTCATTTGATTTTGTTCAAATGGTTTGGATTGACTATTAAAATCATGATTTAATAAAAATAGATCTTTTGAGGATAATATACTATGAATCTATTTTTGATATGCCAAATATTTTGGGAGTTACTATTGGAGACCACCGAGATTGGTTCGAATATCGAGTTCGTTACTATGGAACTACACGTGCCGGTGTAGGGACACATTCTAAGGCTAACCCGACATTTGTGGGATAAATTCCCTCATTGTGAGGGTAAATGATCATTACTTAAAATAATAAGGTTAAGTCGAATCGTACGACACTATGGGAAGCCAACCAGACAAGTAGGGTCAAACTACTTGTTGCTAAATTGATCACGTAGTAGTTGTTTATCATGTCGATATCAGTATAGTTCTCCGAGTGAAAGGTAAAAGAAAACTTTCTTATATTTAGGACCAAGTAACTTAATGTAATTGAATGGTTTTATATGATTCATATTATAATTTTGGATAGATATAAATATTCTAAAAAAACTTATATCATGACTTACATTTCACTTGTCTTTTCATTTAAAATGATAAAGAGCATGATTTAAAGAGCATGATTTATATAACTCTTTATCACTTTAATATCAAATATTGGTTGTATAGTATTTTTATAAAATTTTGTCCTAGGAACTTGAGTTAGAGAAAGTCTATGACACTTATTGAGTACTGTGGTGGTATACTCCGCCCTCAGGGGCTCCTCTCCAGGGCTCCGCTTACTTTATATGTTTCAGAATGAGGTATGATATGTGACATGCGGACAGGGTTAGGATGACTCTCTTCCCGAGGTATATAGTGAGTCACCACTCCTATCCTGTGGTAGCTATTATGTTATTTTTCTTATTTTTTTTTTAGCCAGAAATTGTCCCAAGCGTTTAGTTTTATTCTTTAATAGATGCTCATAGATAATTATGATGATTTATAGTAATGGGATAGTACATGTCATACATGAAAAGATATTTATTGTATTTGATCTCATTATTATTATGAAAGGCTTCATGTATGATTTTGATTTGAATTTTTTTTCCATCATGTAACTTGAAAATATATATGATTTTGACAAAGCTTCCTTAGTTAAATTAATTTTCTTGCATATGATTTGGGTACATTATATGGTTTAGTTCGCTCGAGTCAACTAGTATATCAGGTGCTGATCACGTAATTTTGGATCGTAACAATCATTTCCACAAAAGAGTTTCGTCAATTTCACAAACATCCTCTCCACCAATTTCACATATATTGTATAGCTCCTTTTCTGAAGGGCTTTTAAGAAAAGCTAAGAGATGGAGGAAAAAGAAGTCATTGTCGAGAGGAGATTTTTTTTGACAAGGCTCGCCATTATATAATTTATATATAATCAGGATATAATAAATATATAATAATATATAATAATATATAATATATATACACTGATTATAAGCAGATTATACATCAACTATATTCTGCATGTTCAGTGTATAATGGTTAAGAAATAGAGGAGGTCGCTGGAGTTAAGATTTTTCGGTCGGTGAACGATTATTTGGTGAAGGTTAGTAGCAAATTAATATTGCTTTAACCTCTTCCCAAACTCGCTCGGACATATTAGCACATAATTTGCACAAAATCCACCTTTGATGTGTAGTGCTGAAGTCAGGAATTTTTTCAAGGGTGTTCAAACTTAAAATAAATGAAAAAAATTTCCGATAAAGAGTGTTCAATATATGTTATATAATATTTTATCTGCATAACATAATTTTTCGACAAAGGATGATCAATTAACCAACCTTAGGACAATGTAGCTTCACCCCGTCATGTGTGTGCAACTAATTTGGGTCATGGAGATAATAACTTTCTTGGTTGCTGCTGTAAATCCTGGGACAATATAAAGTCTCCTAATCCAGCTTTCAAAAGTAGGCTTTTGGGATTAATTTCCTTCTTTTTAGCATTCCATATTACTTTTATATGAAAGATGTAATAAATAAAAGGTCAAATAAGAATCGAATTATTATATTTAAACGTCTACATTTTAAAAATTAACAAATGCATTTATCTTGCCTAACTGTAAATTTTGAAAGATACTACCACATTTGTTTTATTGATAGTAAAGATTAAACGGGCAAGAAATTTTAGAAGCTAGTGAACAAGATCCGAGGATAACAAGAATAATTCAGTAAATTACTAAGTTTTAGTTATTTACATGAATC